AAGCCTGTTTTGCAACGAGATTGTAGAATACTGGATCAATCTGAAATTTTGAAGGCTCTTATGTAATCTTCGATGTTGAAGGCTTCGTGGTAAAGGTCAAAATTTTCTATCGACATAGGCTTTTTGAAACATTGAGCATCGTTGTCCATGCTGTTCATCACGTCGAAAAGGTCGTTTAAAAGGGACAAAAACTCCACAGTTGCAGTACAGTTCTTAAATTCCGGACCAATACCACTCAACCGATTGAGTGCCACGGCGACGCTGTTGCTAATAACTTGAACGGCCAACAGTACCTTCATCTTTGAATTTTCAAAATAAACATTACGGTCGCTTAGTTTGGGAGCTAATTTAAGACCAATTGTGTTTTGGTACTGATTCAATTTCTCTATATATTCCCATTTCACCAAACCATTTTTGGAAATTAAAACGCGTTGCGAATGTAGGGTATTTCATACAAGCTTTAGCATGTGCACGGTATCGAGAAGCACATGCACGTCGTGTCGTGTCGACGAAGGATGCTGGAAACACCTTTTAAGAGAAGTCGAGTTTCCACGAATGCTAGGTTAGTAGCAGTACCATCAAAAGTAAACGCAACAATTTTCACGCCCGCATCATTGAGAAAAATCAACTGATTATGTTTTTTTTCTCTTCAGCGTTAAGGCCGTTTATTAGGAAATAAGCAATTGGTATCTTCCACGATTGTTGAATGCCAGTAACCATAAAAACGAGCGCTTCTTTTGCTGCTGGTGCCTGCTCAAGAGGTCCTCGAGGTCCTCGAGGTCCTATAGCATAAAAACACAAAAATGAATGTACCTTCTACGTTTTGGAGCTGTTGGCACGACCAATTCGCCTACATCAGGTGTAAAAGTAAGTGAATGCTGGTTATCTTGATGTTCGCCAAATCCGGAATCATCAAATCAATGAATTAAAATATTTTGATTTTTCATCATAGATTGAAAAAGACTGAAACATACCTTTCGGAGCGTGTGTTTCTTGCCAGCCTTGAACTGTCTGGAGCATATCCAGACGGAGTTAAACATAATTTCATTCACAGCACTCACTTTTATGTTAGCGTTCGCAATTGAATCAAGCCAAGCAATTCGACGTTTAACATCTTTCGGAAATCGATGTTTCGAAAAGTTTTCCTGCTGCATCCCATCCCGGTACTTGTACCCATGAAAATCACTCTTACATGTAGACACGAAACACTTCATGTTGACAACACACTGTAAACATCGCAAATCAAACGAACCGAACGAATTAAATGAAATTTTGGCAAACAAATGTTTAATATCCGCAAAGTTACCACATTTTTTAAGTGATCAAAATCACAACAAAAGTAAATCATCACATCAAATTTTGACGTTTGGAATGTGCGAGATGTTGGCTTCAAAAACATGGCGCCGTGTCAGATACCTGCTAACACCTTAATCCAATCCATAATATCGGACAGCCTTACTGGAGACGTAATCCTTAGCTGTCAAAAAGAAAAGGTACAGAGCCATCGATTTATTTATTTAGCACGCGTTACATATCTCACATAGGCCGTTTGTTGACAGCGGTTTGAGCCGACATCCGAACCGAGATCCGAACCCGTTGGTGTAATTGACAATGAGTTTCTGTCAGGCCAGTGACAAGCAGCGTTGCCAGAATGTTTTAAAGCTTATCGGTATCAAAGATTTTAAAAAATCTGCATTTATCGGTATTTACTATTTTAATTAATTTATATTTTTGGACTATGATCGGAAAATTCCGGAAGAAAACTCCGGAGAATGTTTGAATTAGCTTCTGGAGGAAGCTGAAAACAAGAGCCAGAGAAAGAAGAAAGCAGCTCTCCTGGAAGAAATTTGAGGAACGTTCTGAGAGAAGTCGGAAAAACATCCGACATATATTACAAGTATATTATAAAGTATATATAGTATAAAACAGTACATATACTCGGGACGGACGCTTTATCAACACGTTTCCGGGCTAATTCACCAACCAGATCGATCTCTCAATAGAACTACACACCGAAAGTGTAGCATCCAAACTCGGAGAACCGGGCTCCCGGGAGGCAATGAAAATCGACACCGGACAATGGAACTGAATCGGCCCTGTATATTTTGGAGGTTAGATTCAAGGCCAACAGAGCCACTCAAGGCAAACACAGGCAAAACACGATATATCACTAAATGATAACTTCATAACCTTGAAACTAAATTTCAGCACACAAATTAACAAATTTAAAGCCAAAATGTGTTTAATTCGCTTACGAAAAATACGCAGCAAAAGTAAAACACGTCAGCTTTTAAGCGCGGCCTACCGCGATCTCTGCCTTCTGCCTTCATCGTAAGGAATTGATTCTAATTGAAAGGTTCCGCTATTTATACCCTTCGAAGAGTGAAAGCACCCTACAAAGAGAAAAAATTGGATTGCTTAGCAACAAATTTTAAAGAATAACACCGATAATGAGCGTGTATCAGAACCCTAGTCTTAACCACTTCAAACTATGGAACAACGAATATAAGATTAGGTATTACGTGGTTGACAACTAACTAACTCATTTTTTCCCTTGTTTCAAGATCATCCATCATGAAGCAACCCGAGTTTTGTCACTATCAACAAGGCATAAAAAGTAACAAGGACTAAGATGTGTTCCTTGGATTACTGAAAAATCCTGTTCCCCTAGTTTAAAGTAGTCAGGACTATGAATCAGTGGCAGATCTTACATCCCGTAACGTACCACGAAAAGGTGATCTATCCACGTTACGGGGCCAAGAATTTGCTTAGGATCATTACAAAAAGCCATCAGAATTAATTTTACTTTCAGGATTTCCCTCAATAATTTTATAATTTTTTTCCGGTATTCTCCAGACATTTTCTTCATAACAGTGTCAGAATTCTGTGTTGATCACTTGTGGAATTCTTTCCAGAAAAGTCTTGAAATTATATCTTCGCATTATTATTAATTCTCGCAAAAATGTGTTCGATTTCTCTCCATAATGGTGCTTAGAATTTGCTTTGAATATTCCCCGAAAATCTCTTGATATGTCATTTAGAATTGAGAAATGCATTCTCACAAAATTTGCTTGGATTTCAACTCAGAATTCCCAAAATGCCCTTAAAAGTGGCTCTTGGAATAATTTTGGAACTCTCTTGCAACTCTCCTTAGTATTCCTTCGTAAATTTCTTCAGATTGCCTTGCAGTTGTGTTCAAAGTTTCTTGCCAAACTCATTGAAATTCCCTCAAAATCCTCTTGGGAATTCCCTTGAAACTGTCTTCAAGCTATCTTAAAATTATGCAAATAATATTATGAGCTTAGTTGAAGATGCTAATTTCAAATAACAGACTAAAGTGGTAATTTTTATACGATACATGAGGAGATGAAAGTATAGAATTCATAGTTCCGTTAGAGTACGGCAGTGTGAAAATTGCATATAGAGAGTAGAAAGCGAGCGAGGACAACTTTAGGAAGGTACAAATCGGTTTGATCATCTCTCTTTACCAAACTCCCCCGTTGGAGAGGGATGGTGAAGGGTATTCCTCCTATGAGCTATTTTGAGAATTAACTAGCTTTCCATGGATTTATGACCCATATCTCTTTGCAGCTCTCCTCAAAACTTAACGTCGATCGATCAGTATTTAAGAGATTTCCAGTTGTACGCAATCATTAGGCATAGTTTCAAGGTTGTAGTCATGTAGTCAAATGTGCCATAGGGTTAATTCACTTTGAAGGAAAGAGGCTCCGAATTCCTCCGGTTTCCATTTGCATTAGAATTCCCTGAAATTATAATAATAATCCCCATAATAGTCTCTCCAGAACTATATTAACACTAACCTTTGCATCTCCTTGCAATTTTCATCTAAATTTCCTGACATTGCTAGTTAAATTCCATCGGAATTCTCCCCAGAGTTCCTTTGGAATTATACCATAGAGGTAACTCTAAGACCACTGGGTCCCGAAGTAAATCATTATTATTTTTGGCTCACTCAGTACCAGAACAACGGTCCCAAGCAGTCCCAAGCTATTTCACTCACCCCTGCATGTTCTGCATGAATCCACACACCCCTGATGTTATCTGTCAAACTTTCATAGCGGATCAAAACAAACATAGTGTAGTAATAGAATTTCAACTAGAATAGGGTACGTTAATCGTTTGCTTGGGACCAATAGGCTACTAAAGTGGTGAGCCAATTTAAAATTGTTAGTTTCGTATTGATTGTTGATTATACCTAGATTTCCTCTATAGCTATCCTCAAAACTCATTTGGCATTCTCATGATGATTCTCTAGCTAATGCTTCATAGTCTCAAAATCCCAAAAATTCTACAAGGCCAAATCCTTGGCTTTAAATCTGAGGTCTTAAAAATTCGTAATACCTATTTAATTAAAAAATATCGCAAAGTTCAATCATGTGGAAAACTCTTCTAGAAACTTCAATCATGTGGAAAACTCTTCTGCAGCCAAGGGAAACTGCTCTCGTTGCCAGCTGCTTCAACATACGAGTCACCAGATACGGTACTGATTTGGTGCCATACGTCACCCTCAGCAGAGGAATGTCGATCAAGTTCGTCCAAAACTGTCGGAACATCTTCTCAACGTCGACTACAACCATCACCTGACGTGTACGACTGCGGAGAACGATCGACCGTAGGTCCTGTTGTACCACAGGACCAGCATAGAGTGCATCGTTCAGCGAAATCCCAGAAGACGTCTTGCACGAAGAATCGAAGACCACCCTCGTGGTCGTCGTGCTTGACTCCTGAATTGCAGGATGATGTGGCAGGAAACATCGTTTGACTGTCCCTTCCTCGTTATCGTCTACTCTTCTCATGTGAGGGAGCGCGAGATATTCTGTCATGAAGTTGAAGTATACTGCTTCTGAAGGGTTGGATCCTTTTCTAGTCGCCGTTCCACTGCTCGAAGACGTCGCAGCGTGATGTCTCTCGATTCGCCTAGTTCCACTAGGTGATTTGTCGTTCTTAGGGAGAGTAAAGGTCCGAATTCCGTTCGACAGTGCACTCGAATTGCTCTTCGCAGCGCGTCTCGTCCGGAGATACCTTGCTGACGGCTCCCACTTCCTCGCAGGACAAAAACCGTGCCATTAGCTCCGTCAGATTGCTCGATACCGACATGTATCTCACACCCTGATTTGATGTAGCGACCTCGCCTGTCACTATCCATCCGAAAACTGATTTGGTTAGTATTGACAGACCGGTTCTCAGTGGAATCTACTTTCCGGATGCTTGGAAGAAGCTGAAGAAAGGTTGGATGCCCGTAAACAAGTCTACCTTTCTCGAGCGGATGATTTCAGAATCTGCCAGCTCGATGTCTGCCGGTATGTCCCATCCATTTGTCTGCACTGTAGAAGTAGGCAGACAAGCTGTGACCTTCGGCAAGACGGGAAAATCTATCGGTCTAGAGTACGACGAGACTCGAAAGTTGACGACGGCTTGAATCTTTTGTGTGACCATCGTTCCGGATTGCCCGGGATATCGAAATATCCACCTTCTGGCTAGCAACCTTCAAGCAACTGACTCAGACTTTCGGAGATGAAGTTGGATTCCGACCCGGAATCTAATAGCGCGCGTGCCGGATAGCGAGAACCCTGGTTGTCCTCGATAACAACAACTGCTGTAGCCAGAAGTACCAGCGATGTCGGAAGCTGCACCGTGTTTGACGATGCTCAGTCGGTAAAGGCGCAGCTACAAAGCAAGACCATGCTGTAGGTGGCTGGGTTCAATTCCCGGTCCGGTCTAGAAATTTTTCGGGTTAGAAAATTTGTCGACTTTCCTGGGCATAGAAGTATGATTGGACTTGCCACACAATTATACCAATGCAAAAATGGTACCGGCATCGAAAGCTCTCAATTAATAACTATGGAAGTGCATCTAGAACACTAAGTTGAGAGCACGCAATAAGCTAATATGCGATATGCAATAAGCTTGAAATGCGAAGAAGAAGAAGAAGAATAAGAAGAATAAGAAGAAGAAGAATAAGAAGAAGAAGAAAGAAGAAGAAGGGCAGAACTCGAGTCGTTCCGGTTGCCGCTTGTCCCCGAATGCTGCGTCTTCCTTCGCAGTGTGTGGTGTCAAGCATTGCAGTTGCGACACGAGAACTTCGACGAGCAATCTCGAGCTAGATGTCCTCACTTGAGACAGTTTCGGCAGTGTGAATGTGGCTCCCTGATGGACAGCGGCATTTTCAGGAAGGCCGGACACGTATGTAGTCCATGAATCTCAGTACATGATGGCGTCAGATTTGACCACCGAAATTGATAATCGTCACTGACAGCTGCTTTTGGGATTTTCATACACTGAACCAAAATCGTTCCTTGAAGACCGAGTTGAAGACCATGTTTGCATGACAACACATAAAATATGAAAGGAAACATTCAAAACAACAATTCAAATGGAAGTTCGCAAGATAAACTGAAGAAATCTTGAAATATTTGAATAGAAAAATAAATTAAAACTGCTTTTCAGCGCATTGGCAAAAGGAGATCCTCCAACCAACCTATGAACTACTACACTATTCCATTTCATGAGGACACCATCTCCACAATTATTTAGTAGATTCTAGGGTTACATGTGGTTCCAGTAAAGCCTGATTGATACAATTGATAATCCAGCGGATCGGGTCGATTGCATCAAGAGGGATCGATCTGTCTTCAACCGAATGATAGTTATTATCCGGTTGTGTTTATGTTTGACAGCTGCGGATGTTGCTTCTTCTTATTTGTGAAATGTCAATGCATGCTAAGATAAATGTGAATGAGCAATAGTCAACGCATCAACCGACTATCGCTGACAGAACGGTTTTGTCACGCAGTGAGAGGTAGAGCCATGGCAAACAACAATCACCAGTGATGCTGCTCACAGGCAAAACGTTACATTGTCAACGTTACGTTGATGATGAAAAGCACAACGAAAACAGTGAAGACTTCGGCAGTACGATGATGAGAAAAAGCGAAACGAAAGAAGAAAATGAAAACAATGCCTATGCATTTCAAGTTCGTCACGGCAGGCGCGACTGTGTGAGTTACAAACAAAGCAGGCAACATTAAACAGAAGCTGTTGGGCTCACTCACCAACACACTCACACAAGCAAGCAAAGCAGCAACTGGTTCAAAACAAACACAGATGAGTGTCGTGATTGTCGGGAATGATCAGATTGGTGATGGATCACCACCAAAGACGACATTCACCTGTTGCTTTTTACTTTTTTCGTCAACTTGATGGATGGTCATGGAGAGAGCTTTGACAAGCACATTGATAGGAATGCACCAAGCGTTACTGCCATCAGTTGTTCGACGATCGTGATTGTGAAAGGTCGCAACTCTGCTCGAGGATTTGAATTCTCTGTTGTTGGAACTCGTGCAAGTCCTGTAGAGCGTCTTGCTCCCTAGCGGACGTGTATTCCTTCAAGCAACGTCGAGTGACTGGATCCCAGTGCTGTAAATTCTCCAAATCATTTGAACATTTTTGATGAAAATGAGAAAAGTAGCTGTTTGCTATCAAATGGGACCTCCTTCGAATGGGTGGTATAAGTAGCTCAGTCATTTGACGAAGGCATGGATCATTCTCATTTGAGAAACGCTATATATCATTCAATTGAGTGTAACCTACACATAAACGGAGCTCTGGTCGACATTCCGGCGAAAAAGCTAAGCCAACCCGACAACAACCTGACTTCTACCAAACACCAACCCGATGTTGACCCTACATTGACCCGACATAAATCCCAAATTGACCCGACAACAACACGACATTAGGTCGACATCAACCTTAAATTAGCCTTACATTAATCCGACATTTGGCCGACTTGTCTGTTCGGGACCATTTTGCTGGGTTTCTTCCATACTCCACTGTCGTATATCAAATGATAGTGAGTGACTCAATTGACAGTGACAATGAGCTTCGAATGAGAATGGGGCTCTTCAAATTATGGTCATGTGAGAATTCGTTTACACAGAATTGCTTGAATGGTTGTACTGGTTCATCTTCAATCGAATTATATGAAAATTTACAGCTGGATCCAGGCGAGAACTCAGCAGTTCTACCAGCAGCAAATCCTTGTATTCGGCTTGTTCGATGACTTGATCCAATATCTGAATCGCACGGCTGAATCCATCTGCCAATCTGTGGAGATCCGTGACCGATTCCTTGGAGAGTGAGGGTAGTTTGACCAGGGCTTGTACTGGTTACTTGGTAACTGTTTCCTCTTGAGAAGCCTGCTGTTGCTGAAGCGTTTAAGCAATGACTCCTAAGCTATTTTATAATTGTCGCTAGTTATATTCGACTAGCGCCTTAGCTTCGCCTGCTAAGCAACCTTTCAGATAGTGAAATTTCTCCACATCCGGAAGTTCTGCTTTCAATATGGATCAAGGACGTAAATAGAGATCCCTGAAACTCAGACAGTATCGATGTCTCTATCAAAAGTCTGGAGCTTGATTTGCGGCAGTCGTACACGTATACTGGCAACATCCGCACTTCGTGATGACTGGATCGGGGTAGATTCATCCTCGAACTCCTTGGCCTTTTACATCAAGAACGATTTCGCATCGTAGTAGCGATTCTCGAACTTCAGTTGCTCCTTTTCAACACCTTCTTGCTCTTCGTAGTCCTCATGCGATTCGATCTTCCAAGAAGTCTCACTGCTCTCACTTCAAATCTATACGTTCGAGATTTGACATTGAGCTGACTAGCTGTTGTTTAACGACCTTCAAAAAGTCTGTTGACCTGGTAATCTTCGTTGACATGGTTTTTGTCAGAGGAATCACGGCACGGAAACGAAGAACCAAGAGCCAGTCAATTGGTAGGTACTAGTTGCGTTGCTGCTCTCAAAGTTTGGCGAAACGTTGGAAGATCCGAGAATCTACAGGAATCGGCGATGTAGTATGCAAATTTTCTGCTTCGGCTGGACATATACTGTTTAGCTCACCTGTGAGAAGAACCAGTGGTGCTACCGAGGCCAGATAGCAGTAAATTTCAAAACGAGGTACCTCAAAATATTACATCGAGAACCTCGGATTACAATTCGAGTCAGTGAAGAGCGAAGGAATGGAAAAACGAATGTAGTAACCAATATTTGAGCTTCGGCTGAACCGTGCAGTCTGTACCAACAGTCGAATCCAAATTTGCCTCAATCACGATAATTAACGCTTCGAATCACAGAGTTGTATAGCTTTACGGTACCAAATCGGTAGCTCGTCTCGAAATCCGGTACAGCGAAGGAGAAAAGTACCAATGTAGTATCACAAGGGAGCCTGCTTCGTCAGGAGATATAGGTACTCAGGGCTGTCATCTGATAACTCAATGCGCTTGTTTTTCACCCTTCGCAAGTGTAAAGCAGCGGAGAAGAGTAGACAGACGCAAACCCAGACATAACGTAAGCTCAATGACTGATGCAAAATTTGAAATTTTCGCTCCACAGTGCTCAAACGGCTACAAATCAGGTCCTGATTAGCCTCCCAAAATTTAAACTCATTTGGTAAGAAACTGACTTGGCACATAGTGTAGCCATCGCTCCCACGGCTCCGACGCAAAGAGCGCCACTCAGTGTAGGGTTGCAAATGGGAAACACAGCAAAAAGACAAAATTCTTCTTTGTTATGCCCTTCTTATGGTAAGCAAAGTCTGCAAGGAATTCAAAGAAGACTTGTTGTATTTGGAGTGTACACGGAACCGAAAAATTACACAAAATTAAGTTCTTTTCACTCATCTCCCATGATCCGTTCTGTGGTGATCTATAATCTGAGTCTTTATATATACTGCACGCATTATACTAGTGTGAGTGTCGTCACTCTCTATGGGGAGAATATAGCTACCATCCAATGGGCCACTCGTCATTCCATTGTACGGACTTCGCTACATTGGACGTACATACTCGGCATCACACGTGGCGACGAGGAAAAAAAAAAGTGGAAGTTTTGCGGATATAATTTTGTGAATTTAAATTTCAATGTTCTAAAGTGGTAATTATTTCAAGAATAGCAGGTGATTATTTCAGTGGAATATGAAATGTGTGATATAGCTTAGAAAAGTGATTCGCTTCAAATCGCAATCAAATACGCCGTAGTCCGCCATCTTGGAATCGGTCAGAAAAAAAAATGGTGATGGAAAAAATTAATTAATGAATGTACTACGTTTA